AGACAGGCTGATAAGTCTCTGTGGTTTTTCCATCGCAACTGCTGCTCTGTGGTTCAGAAACGAGAAATCTTTATCTCAGTTTGCTTGAGTCGAGACTCACACTGAGGACAATGACAAGTCTGATAATGCTAAATCCAGAAGCTGCAGCAACATCCACCCCGACAGAGGTCCTGAGGGTCATCTATATGATTGAAAGGAATTCTGGGCAATCCATGAAATTGATCTGCGGGTCCAAATTCTTATAATTCCTGATGGAAAGAGCAGTGGGAAGATAATGGAGCGGCTCAGAGGTCAAGATACAGTACCGCAGTCTTTGCTGCTGAATCATAGTGGGCTGAGGATGACTGAGAGTTATGCACTAGAGTCTGAAGTAAAGCCACATTTATTAGATTTCTTTGTCTGGAGCCAAGGAAACGAGCACAGAGCGTCTCGGAGCAGCTCGGAATACAGATGAGGAGAGAAACTGGGCAGAGGAGCAGGTCTCCTCTTACTACGTTCACATTTTCAGGGTTATACGACACAAAACCAATGCTGTTACGTAATTGAATGACACGGGAGAAAGTGGGAATCATGTGAGACGATGAGAAAATTGATTCAAAGGAGCAGTATACTTAAAAAAGGAATTAAATTGTGCAACTAAAAAACACAAATTAAAGGTTTTAGACTTACTTTTATATTATTAAGCCATAGAAAAAGATTAAACATGGTCTTTTTAAGCAGGACATGATTCTGCAACTACATCTACTGAGGAGGAGGGGCTTTTTGTTCCACTTTTAGCAAATCTACGAAAAAACTACAAACCCCATGTTGATCAATTTGAGCATAAAAGTTCACCCAAGACGGACAAATTCGATTCGGGACAGTTGAACTCATTACCAGACAAATTTAGCAGTTTCACGTGCACATTTGTGACCCAAACCCAGGCTCACAATTACAAGCAGCAGCCTCGTACATTAGCGCAGATTAAATTTTCCCTTTATTGCAATCATGCACTTTAGCTACTTTGATGTTTCAGCCAAGACAAATACCGCTGTTCGGAAAATTTTACACAAATTTTATGAAACTTGGCGCCAAGATGCAGCAAACGGTAAGGGCGATGCGAATAAATACAGAATTTAATAAAGAAATGAAAAGAAGAGGGGCTCATGAACAAGTAACACAGTTTGGTAGGTTTAAAATCAGACTGTGTCTCTTTTCACATAGACCCGCAGCTTTATTGCATCTCTATGTCATCATTATCTTGTTAAATTACTTTTATCTGAACCTGACCCTCTGACAGAGCTGTGTATACACTCATCACAGGCAGTCAGTTGTGTATTTAATCTATCTGAAGCGCCACAGATAAGTGTCCCCCTCTTTGTTGTCATCACTCTCTATCTAGTCTGATTAAATTGTGATGACAAGACAAGGGGTTGTGAGTAACTTTTCAACGCTGAGACAAACTGACTGAATTAACCTCTCATCTCCCCCCCTCAGCCTCACTGTCTCACACGTTCACCCACTTTGTGCTACGGTTGTGTCCTCTTCTCTTTACAAAATGTCTCTGAACTATTAATCTTAAAAATTTGATTTTTAATTGCAAACTTATTGAGATCTAGATAAAATTTAAAGATTCACAAAGCAGAATGTATTATGGACTCTGTCCCCGTGGCCTACAGAGGATATAATGCACCACCCTCGGGCATATCCTGTATGAACTGTGATATGAAACCTTTATATACAGTAAGAATATACTGTATCAAGGGGTTTAAAAGCTGGGGGGACAATGTGGGTTGGGTCAAACTCAATTTTGAATGCTACGATACAATACGATACGATATGATACGATACAAACCAGTGCACCAAAACACATTACAATAAAATATAATCCCACAGGCTGTGCTACAACACAGTAAGTCACCATTTTTATGATAAACAATGATATGTAATACAGTTTAGGACCATACAGTTCAATGCTAAGCCATGTTGATGATGTGATACAATGCGACATGGTAAAATACAATGCATATAAACAATACAATACCACACAATAGGGTACAGTAGAATATAATACAATATAATAACTCTAAAACCTGTTGAATACTTCCCTGTACAATACGATGAAATATGATATGATACGGTTTGGGACATAATAAAAGAATATAATACGGTACAATCTGATATAATACAAAAAATCTGATATAATATGGTGTTATAAAATATAATGCAAAAATGCAATACATAATCAAATGAAATGATATAAGATACAGTTTGGTACGACATGACGTGATACGATACGATATAAAGTACAATCTGAGGGAGTACAATAAAGTACAATGTGATGTAACATAATGCAATATGATACAGTATTCTATGATATGATATGATATGATATGATATGATATGATATGACATAACATGACATGACATGATATGATATAATGATGCAAAACAGTACGATAAGCAGTTTAATCTGATAGGGTACAATAAAGTACAATGTGATGTCACATAATGCGATATGATACATTATTCTATATATGATATGATAAGATACGATATAAAGTACAATCTGAGGGAGTACAATAAAGTACAATGTGATGTAACATAACGCAATATGATACAGTATTCTATGATATGATATGATATGATATGATACGATATATGATATATGATATATGACATGATGATATGATATATGATATGAGATATGATAAATGAGATATGATGTGATATGATATGACATATAAAATGATACAATGTAAAACAATATGATATATAGTACAATACAGTATAATACGATATAACACGAAGGGTTGATAGATTACTATATGACCTAATATGGCACTATATGATAAGGCACAATGCAACGCGTCCTTCCAGGTCAGGATTTGATATGACATGATCAGTACAATACAATACAATGAGATATCTTAGGATAAATAAGATACGACACTGTGGGATTTTCTGGGATAAGGATAGGATCACACGCTCATGCATGTCGTATATGTGTGAGTTTGTTTGAGTTTCTTAACCCAGATCCATACAAAGATATTGAGTCTGGGGTCAGAGGAGTCCATGGGGGCGGGGTCCTCTGACTCCAACACAGCTGTAGTAAGCTATTAAACTACTGCACCTCAGCTGACCATCAGACAGCGTCCTTCCACATGCTGATGACAGGACAGAAGGACTGACCCCACTTTTGAGTGACAGCTGCTACAACATTTACTTGCCGCTCAGGAGTGACGCAGAAAGTCTGACCCACGGGGAGCATCAGCTTCAGAGAGATATCTGCTGTGAGTATGAGCCGTTCGTTCATTACACTTAATGGATCGTGGTTTGAGCCAAGATCAGTGAAATTGCACATAATGCACTCCAGTGGAAAAAGGCTGTCACATCATTTTAGAGACAACAAGAAGGAGATGGATTTGCATCAAGAACAAGGTCCTCTTTTTTGACATTTTCCCTCCGTCATCTGCAGTAGCTCTTTATTTAAAAGCCTTGTTCAAATAGAGAAATCACCATGTATCACAGGCGCATCTGTTTTAACGCTCTCCTCCGTGTTGGTATGTGGATGGAATTACAGTAACTCAATCACGTCTGCTCTCCAGATTCATCCCTCCCCCCTTGGCGGAGATCCTATCTAAGGTGTTGGTATGCACTCTCACTGTCTGCAGCTCTAACGTGAAGATAAGTCGTACCATTTTAACGACGAAGGTGAAATGTTAGACGCCGCTCCAGATGCAACATACAGTGATCCTGTATCTGGGTCTGAATGTTTGTTATGCGTCTCTCCCTGGAGAGTTTGGCTTCGGCCCCAGCTTCACAAACGCAGTAAACTTAACACTCCCATGTCCACTCAGCCCACTGATTGTCAGGCTTTTACAAACATTGACATATAAGGGATGGGAATTGGGAGCGCCTGCAGAGCCACTCCAAGAGTTCTCATCCGCAGCTTACGGTCAACCTTAACTGGCTTCTCTTTTGCTCCTTCACGCCATTTCAGCTGATTTACATCAAACGTGGGAGACAACACTGCGAGGATTTGTTGTTTTAATAACTTAACGTATAAAAAACTCAAGATAGCAGCACACCATCACAGTCAGTTTGTCCATCATCACCAGATAAATCAACCTCCATATGCTATCAGGGGATCTTTGCGCTGAATTGCTATTGCGGTGTGAGTGACTCACTGAGGTTCAGGTGTTGCAATCAAGCAGATGTCCAGTTTGAACATTTGAGCTCTTGTAAACTCTACTGCGACTTTTAGCTTGAGTTGATTTTGGCGCCCCCTGTGGACAAAGCAGTCCTTTTAATTTTTTGTCCTGTGGATGTAACGTGTTAATTTTGAAGTTATCAAGGATACGAGATGAGCGAAGTTAAAACCTGCCATGAACTTGGAGAATAGTTGCACGAAGATGCAAAATAAAAAAGGAGCCGATTGTCTGTGCAAATTTTGGCGCCCCCTGTGGTCAAAGCAGTCAATCTTTTTTTCTGACAGCAGCATTAAAATAGCTCTATAAAAATATTCAACCCTTATAGTGATAGTCTGGTTTGCTTTTGTAGCTCATAAAGACACATCAGTATCAATGATACGAAATATCCTTGTTACTACCTCAAGGGTAGCAGTGCGTCATCTTGGTGCCATTGTTACCTCTCAATAACATTCGTATTGAAGCCAAAACATTACACCGCATTTATCACGCCTTCAACTGAGGATATGAAAAGGACTTATGTGTAACTGCTCCGCCTATCTAAGTAGAAATCTGCCATGAACTTGGAGAATAGTTGCACAAAGATGTGAATAAAAAAGGAGCCGATCCTTACAGATGCATTAAAGCTCCTGTGAAGATCTTGTCTGTGCAAATTTTGGCGCCCCCTGTGGTCAAAGCAGTACCTCTTGCAACTACACAAATTTTGCAAATAAATTTACCCTTCTCTTTCAGGATATGAAAAATTTAGGTTTCTGCTCTTTGTGAATTTTTACCTTGTGATATTAAAAAAAAAAGTTTTTTGGGGGGAGCTTTCAATCCCTTTTCTAACAGCTACCTACAGCAGCATTAAAATTTCTTCTTGTTAATATTCAACCCTTGAACTGATAGTCTGGTTTGTTTTTGTAGCTCATAAAGAAGCATCAGTATCAATTTCACTTTGTTTCATGACTGACCAAAAACTCCCTACAGTAGCTTTAAGTTTAGAGCCTTTTTAAAGTTGTCCACAGAGTTCTAAAACGTCAGCTTACCTACTTTACTGTAATATCAGGACAGAGCTCTAGCACTTCAGTAGTACCAGGACACTTAACTGATATCAGCCACAGACAAGAGGACGGTAATTTCAGACAAAGATGCTCTCCTTTGCACAACAAGCTCAGATATCGCCCAGCTTTGGCCACAAAGTTCCCCCTCTGAGCAGCACTTTACCGTCTGTGATCTTGTCCTGTAACCGCCCCTCCCCCCCTTTCATGTGTGTGTGGAGCTGACTGTAGTAGAAAGGCCTTTGTTTTTTTCATGCCCGTGTGAGAAAACACACACATACACACACAGGGGCATCCAGGAAGTGTAAGCTAAGTGGTGATGAGAATAGAGAGTGGATGTTGACAGGGGTTATCTGAGGTCGGACAGCGCCGGAGCTCCTCCGCTGGCCTGCTAATGAAGAGAAAGTGCACGCAGTCGCTGTCAACATTCAGACTTTCAAATATTTTTTTGACAATTCGCAGAAATGCAGGAGCAGAAGGAAGATTGGATGAGTCACGTGCAGAATATATGGAGTGTTATCAGGAAGGTTGCACTGTATTTGAAGCATATTTTCCAAAGATGCATTGCCTAATAAACGATCTGTAAGATTATCACTGACAGGAGATTAATCTGTGTGCAGAAAGACGCTCCAGAGATAAGACAGTCGATTCATACTTAGAGAAATATTTACAGTTTTAACCGCTCCCAAAACTCCCTCTATGTATCTCTCTCTTGGAATTCCATTCATTACAACACCCATATTTATGAGGTGAATCTCAGCGCAGACGTGCATGCACACTTTGGGCTGTGGTCCCTGTTCGGGGTGGAACCCAGTCCCCACTCCCACTGGAAATGAGTCATGTCAAACAGAGGAGAGCCCCCGATCTTATCTCGCCGTGGCGGTGTGGTGGGCATACCCATCCACACCTTCACACATACTGTGAGTCACAAGGCAGACTACATGACCGCTAGAAGAGGAAATGACCCATGCCACACTACCATATGAAAATGAGTATATTTGGAATCACCATGGCAACTAAGAGTTAAAAGGAAGTATGCCTTTTTGGGAAATGTCCAAAAATAAACCTTACTGTTACGCTGCTCTATAAAAAGAAATTTAAAGGCTTTTGTTTAATCGAAACATCAAATAAGTTCCTTTTTTTTAATGTAGTAAAATCTTTTTGGCATACACTTGTATCAACAATTTCGTAAAGCTAGGCTTTATCTAAAAATACCAAATTTAGTCTTTTTAAAAACAGCTGATTTACTTACGTCATCACCCTTCTCTTTTTTTGCGTCACCGGCCCTGTGACAGACTTATTATGTAACAAAAACTCACCACCAAAAGAAATGAAAACTCACTTCTGCTTCATGTGATTCTGCGTAACACATTTTACGAAATCCAAAACATTTGCCGTCACCTCCCACGTGGTTCGCGCCGCAGCAGTAGACACGCACTGTGGTAAAAGCTGTGATATGTCACCTGGGTTGTGTTCATCAAAAATTTGCCTCACAAAACCATCCTTTCTATCTTGTATTACTTTTATTTTGACATTTTCGCTGCTTTTTATCCTGCATTCTAAAAAGGTGCTTTTATTTTGAAAAAACATGCGCGCAACTCCTGATAGATTGTGAGTTATGTAACAGAATGAAAACAGCAAATTAATGATCTGTAAGAGACTAGATAAATGCTCTATGTATTAGCATCCTGAAGTGATGATGTTGGCTTTGGATTCACAAAAAACCTTGAAAAATTGGTTTGGTGTCCGACCATCTTTTAGAGCAAGGGTGGGCAATAAATTTTTACATGGGGCCAAATTAGAAACCGGAACTGTGTTGGAGGGCTAAACCATCAATAACGTCAACTTCAAATCAGGGGGATTCACACATACAGAAAAGCAAGCCCAAATAAGCAACTGCTAGTTTAAAAACAAGTCCAAAAAAGTTTTACAAGGCTCTTCTGAGAGAAACAAGCCTAAAGTCGTTTATAATAAGCAGATTTGACAACTACGAGGTGTCTACGTATATTATGTCTATGTCTAAACCTGTCTCTGTTCACGACTGCAGATCTAGGATGTACGCATGTACGTCCAAACGGAAATACAACAATGGCTGGGTTTTCAAAATAAGATAAAAACACTTGTAGAGCAAATTCATGTTCTGATTGGCTCACAAAGGGCCGTAAAATGCCCAGGTCTGTTTCAGAGGGTGCTATATTAAAAAAAAAAAAAAAAAAAAAAAAAAGTATCACTGTATTACTGTGCACTTATTTTTGCACAATACTAATTTTTCTTTGTTTTTTAAAGATAGAATTTCTTTCTGTTTTGTTTTGTAAAAAGTCTCATCTTGCTCTCCTGTAACAGTTAAATGTACCAATTGTTAATAAGTCTGATCAGGGTGGAGCTACAAGCTGCCAAATCCAATCGAAAAAACTCTTTACTGGAGCTTTAAGTATTAGAGCAGAGAAGATGTAAATGTTGCGACTGTAATGTTATTTATTCATTTATTTTAGCTTCTTTCGAGTGAAAAGTTTGAGTTTGACAAGTGGCTATGAAACTGGAAAATAAATGCTGTTTATCATGTGTGCACATATACTTAACGCCACCCCTGCATTAGTCACAGCCCCGCTCTGGGCACTTTAGTCAAGGTAGTCTAGCTCTGCCCCTGGATTAATGAAAGAAGCTGTATCAGCAGCACAAAGTTAATCATTATATCCGAAACCTGCTCTGTCTGTTGTTTCAGACATTAAAGATAACCACACTGAAGTGATCATGCTCCTTCTTCTTCTGTGTGTTTTTGTGTCTCTATTTAAATCATACATCAGTAGACATCAGCTTTAATTTCAGTCTGTGTTTAAAACTCCTTATAGGAGCTTTAATGATTATGGTAGTAACTTTTGCTAAAACTGTCACAACACAAACAAACTGTTTTACAAAGTCACTAATAACTCCAAGAAGTGTGTCATGACAGCAGTAACATCTGGAGACACAGTCAGAGAGGAGGAATACAAAGACAAAAATCTCGAAAGCACATATCTGCTTTTGGTTACCAGGACAGCCAAACAATGCTCAGCCAGCCCCCCTCCACACACACACAAACTACTCCAAGTTAGTAACCTAGGCAACCCGTGCGCTATTACGCATGGACCATCTATATTGGGATCCCTGGCGCTGAACCAGAGGGTCACTCCATGACGCAGCGACGCACGCAGGGCGTTGTTCTTCCATAATGAGACACTTTATAACAGAACGTCAGCCCTGGCATCAATCTAGTCTGAGAGCGACTTTGGGGACTGACGGACTACCGCTGTTGGACTCTTTTGGAGAAACTTGCTTTTGCTTTTTGCAAGCTTGAAACTCTTTTTCTTGTGGGAATACACGCGCTAAATAAGTAAGTGGACTTTGGTCACTTTTTAACTTCCTTGTATTCAGCTGCTATCCTCGCGGATTAAAGAAGGAAGCACCTTTTTTTTTAACCGGGATATCCACCGCTCCATTACGCACAGAGATCGCAGGAAACCTTTCATTAGATTTAATTGAAGACGTGAAACAACAGATTTGGTGGCATTTCAATCTGCTGTCTCAATAGGAGGCAGCAAAGCCAGTAACAACATGACTGTGTAGATGACAGAAGCCGGAAAATGAAAGACAGGAGGGGGAAAGTGGCGCAGTTGGAAGAGACGAATTCATTGAATTTACAGAAACAGAAATGCAACCTCTTAAAGTTATTCCTGTCTCAAAAACTTAACGCAAATTCACATTAATCTAAACACCATTTATCCACATTAGTTTCTCTCACTTGTTATTAAATGTACTAGTAAGTTGAAGCAGTTTTAACGCAGTCCAGATATAGCTTCTGTTAAAGTCTGTCCGTGCTGAACGTGCTGCAGCGACACACCCATGTCCCAACTCTCTGACATCCACACACACACATACACAAACACACACACAAAATCACACTCCCTCTCTGACAGAGACCCTCTCCTCTTCTCATTGCCTTCCAGATCGTCTGGAAAGATGCTGCTCCTACTACTGGGAATCATCCTCCTGCACGTCGCTGCTCTGGTTCTCCTGTTTGTGTCCACGATAGTCAGCGTGAGTAAAAACAATGTTCTCCCCTTTTTCTTTAATATTTAATGATAAAATATAGTCAATAAATCTTTAAAACACTCTGCAAGAATCTAATACATGCAGTAGGAAAATAATGTTTTTTACTTTATCACTAGATTGGAGTTAATTGTTGTTTTAGAGGATGTAAATCTAACATTTTTCAGCTCTGTTTTCAAAAACACTTGTTAATTTGATCTCTATATTGAGTTGGAGATGTTATATTTAAGATTTCCAGATCTAATTTTACTCCCATCGGTGACCGTGTTGTTTGTTTGCCATCAGGTATGGACGTCAAGTGAGACCAGCACCTCAGACCTCTGGTACAACTGCTCTACTTCCAATGGAGGATACCACTGTGACCCTGCATCCACTGGAGGTCAGACACCTGCTTTGCACTTCACTTAAAACTACTCTGATGTGACAAAACTTGATATTTTGCTGGCTTTTAGTTTTGCATTGAAGCGGGTTTAAATCTATTGGAATAGAGGCTCTGAGCTGTGTAAACCCACATGCTGAAATCCAACATTTAGCATGTTGATGATGTGGGTGTGTCGCAGCCCCCTCTGGGACTCTGCTGCCATCTAGGGCAGAGAATGTGGCGGTGCCGTCTTGAGGTGAGAGCTGATAGGCTGCCGCCGTATAAATAGTCGTGGTGTGATGTCCATATTCAGGTCTCATGTTGGGGAGTCCATAGTGACAGGAGTTGGGGAGTTGTGGAAGAGGATCTGGGTGGGGCTGCGGAGTATTTAAAGTTGTAGATGTGTCAGTGTGTGTGTGACAGAGTGTTTGAAAGCAGGGGAGACCTTGGACTACCTCATGCAGAACATAGCATGCTGCTGCTGCTGCCGGGTCACGCCCAGTGTCAGATCAGAGTGTCCAGTGTTAGTTTGCAGGGATCATTAGGACAATTTAAGGCAGCAGCTGCAGCCTTTAAGAGATTTATTTAGACACTCAGCCTCCTCTATGTGTTTGAAAATGGATAACACTCTTCACCTTGCAGAATTTTTATCATTCAGGAGTGAAAAATGAATCAACAAGTCCGTGCTCCATCATGGTTTAGCAGCAGCATGTTTGGTTCCTAACTGTACGGTCAGAGAGTTGCAGGAGCCGCTGCCCACAGCCGGGGTGATGTCATTTGTCTAGAATGAGCCGTGCTCAGCCAGTGTGTGTTTTGTCAGGCCGGCAGCGCCTGCATACTCTGCCAGGTAGTTTGATGGCGCAGCCAGTTTGTTTGACTTGCTTTCATTAGCGCACTGACGCACTGTGTTTATTTAAGAAGGCGCGTGTGCTCTGTGCCCGGGCTTTGCGAGATGGAAGATAGGGGGTCTGATCTCACGTGGGAGCCGAGTCTGCGTCTGACCGGGCTTTTCTGAAGCTTTGCTGAGCAATCAAGTTCATTATGCGGTGACTCAGAATCATGATAATCGCGGTTATTTTTAGGGCTTTTCTTGGGAGTTTAGAAGAAGTTTCCTGTAAGTTTGATGACGCTTCAACGAGGAATATTCCATCATAGCTATCACATGCCAGACTCTGGATATAAACATCACATCCCTACAGCCAGGAAACATCCAACTCTAAATTTAGCTGTGTAGAAGACTGTCTTTTCCCCTCAGCATGGCTCTTCTATACATAAACAGCAGAATAAAAACAGCTTTATTTTGAAAGTGCGCGACTCTTGGGCACTGTGAGGCCTCAGGATAGAAAGTATTTACAGATATTTTCCTGTTTTGAGTCGCAGAAGAATCCTTGTGCGTTCCTGCGTTGAAATAACACTCTCACGAATGACAGCATTCATATAAAATTTGGGATATGATTCATACTTGCTTATCTGGGATATTCTGGGCCTGGAACGGCGCCGCACGCTAGGAAATGCCCCCTTGTCACTGTGTCCTGCTTGTGGCCGGTGAAAAGAGGAAGGAAGGAGGAGAAGATGTGTGTTTATCAGAAAGCAGCGATGATGTATTGTCATATTTATAGGAGGGGCACTATTCATAGAGCAGGGATGGAACATTTCACCCATTTCTCACAGCGTTATCATTGTATTATGTAACACGTGAAGGCAGGATCATTACAGTGGAATCTAATTGTTGCTCTGGTGTGGTATTGTGCTGCATGCACTCTTTGGATGGAGATTTGCAGCGGATCACGTTTCCATATCTCATCCTGGGGCCAATAATCACGAGGGATGATATTGTAGGTAACCGGACTCCAGAGTCTGCAATCAGTGAGAATGATGTGAGGGATATTTTCCGGGAAAATGGTGCAATTCTGCTTAAAGACGTCTACAGAAGAAGAAGAAAGAATAAGCTAAAGGGCTTTGACGTGTTTTTATTTGACTCTCAGAGGTTAAATGTGGTCAGTGGAAATGTTACGATCGCACAAAGAAAGCCGTCTTATTCCTCAAATATACTCTCTGTTTTACGAGAGCTAATAAATTATGAATCCCGCCTTTATTTTCCATGCTTTTAGTGCCCCCATTAAACCGCAACATGCATTTGATTTACATAATTCAAGGGAATCAATAAACTAAAGATGCCTGAGGATGTTCACAGAAGCACATCAGACATTTGAATGTCAGAGTTTGGAGTGTGTATACAGATGGAGCCGCAATAAAATGCCCACTTTTTATTGGCTTGACTGGAATATTCTCATGCCGCGATAAGGCAGGAGACTTGTAAAATCTTTGGTCGCATCCAAACAGATCAAGTACGTCCTTCACGGACAAGTACCTTGGGTGGAACCAATATTTTATAGCAGGGATGGCGCTGAAACATGGCAGTAACAGCAGGCGCAACTAAAACCAAGAGTTGGGTGGATACAGAGAGGGAGAGACGGTGTTCTTAGGTAACCTGAGAAGCCCAAGAGGTAGCCTGCATGACCCTCAGACAAGAAATAGACGCTGCTCTGAAGTCCTGGGATGCCTCGCATTGTGGGACGAATGAAGCACAGATACAACGAGACTCCGATAGATCGCAAAGGTAGTCTCTTCTGTCAATACAGGTATCTAATGAGTTAATGGCTTCTAGCAGCCAGGCCTTGGAGACTAACAAACAATCAATGATACATTTAGTGGTGGGTCCTCCAGTGAGGGGGCTCGCCAAGCTTTTAGGAACAAGATACCCAGCTTCCATTGTTGTGGATCCATTACAAATCCCCAGAAGAAAACAAAGCCCAGGCTAACTCGTTATGTTCTCTTTGAGAGGATGCTGAAGTTCAGCACAGACCAGGCCAATCAAAGCCCACTTTGGCGGTTATTTTTGGTAATGTGTTTCCCCCTTACCCTTCCCTTCTCTTTAGCTCATTAAGTTAGTGTTAAACGCTTTTGGATCATGCCGATCATAGGTCCAGTTATTGACAACACTCTCTCGTCTTCTTCCCCTTTGCAGAGTGGATCCAGGCGGTCCAGGCCCTCATGATCCTATCCATCATCTTCAGCTGCCTGTCTCTCTTCCTGTTCTTCTGCCAGCTCTTCACTTTGCAGAAGGGCGGACGCTTCTTCCTCACTGGAACCTTCCAGATCCTTGCCAGTAAGTTGGATCAATGTCTACTCTTCTTCGCAAATTCAGCGACAACACAACTGATATGGGACAGACAAAACCTGGACATGGTTTGTCTCCTTTCTGTTATGAATGAATGCCAAGTGCTATCATATTACAAGGGTCAATCCAAAACACAAGGGTATTCAATCGCGAATTACACAAAACAGAGAAAGGCAGATTTCTCTGACAACCATTACCTAATTACCGACCAAATGACTGATCTTTTGAGCCCAACCCTGTGGTCATCTAACATGGGAGCACTTGTATAGTCAGGAAGATAAACAAATGACAGATGCTCAAACCGCCTCTTCCGTTGCCATGAATTGAATTAAGAGAGTCTGAGCCAGTTCCTAATGGTTTAATGCCCCCACTTGTCTATTGTACTTCATGCCCTTTTGCTAGCGAGTGGCTCCACCGCCAGTCCATTGTATCCTCTCTTGGCAGCCCTTTCCACCATCCCAGGTTTTTTTGTTCTCTGCTTGTGCCAGTGCATTGACTGGTACCCAGGTGCCCACTCAGCCACACAGGAATGACGCTGGGCCGGCCGCCAAGCTGCACCAGTGGAAATGTCAGGAAGGCTGGCACTGCGGGGGTCTGACAAACTGATCATGCCTTGTCCGACCAGGGAGGCAGGCAGTTCGGCAACACTCGCAAAGACGGGATCGAGCTCGATAGGCATGAATCACCGTGATATTTTTAACAGGGGTTCCTTTTGAGTGGGGCTGCCCCTGACAAAAAAACTTTCCTTTGTAACAAGGGTTTGGTTGTTTAAAACTACCGTGAGGGATTTGGTCATGAAACAGACTGAAACTTCCAATGATGCAAAAAATTAAGCTGACATCCAAATCATGTTTCCACTTAAAGGCAAGCCAACCAAAAGTCCATTCGTTTGCTGGGGAATTAGCCTCCCATTAGCGGAATTTCCCTTGATTGTGCTCAAAAAATTGAACGTAGGTTTAGTTCCTTGAATTTCTGCAATGACCAGGTCAATGAAATCTTGGCTGAGATTCCAGTGATCAACTAGCGCTCGATTCCATAAGGAGATCCATTGAAAAACACAGACCAGTCAACGCCACTGCCAACAAAGGGTTCATCACAGGACACAGCAGAGAGCAGGATGTGGAGATGAAACCTGATCCGATAATTGGTCAGGATCATGGCCAACAGTACTCAGTGCTTACTTTTCTCCTGTCCGCAGGTTTGTTCGTGATGAGTGGAGCCATCATCTACACAGTGACGAGTCCAGACTGGGTGGCGCAAACGGACACCTTCGGCTACTCCTACATCCTGGCGTGGGTGGCCTTCCCCTTGGCGCTGATCAGCGGACTCATCTACGTCATCTTGAGGAAGCGAGAATGAGCCCACAATCCATCCCAGTGTTCCCAGTAACCCCCCTGTCCAACTGCAAAAGTCAAGACCCCCTCTGAAGTTTAAGTTCTGATGCCTGAGTACCAGTGGCCGGTGGAGCCACCAGGCCAAAACACCCAGATCACAGAGAGGGGGGTAATCCAAAAAAATTCAAAGTGCAAACCAACACAAAATCAACCAATACTGTCTCAGTTAAAAGATGTATATAGTATCTATGGTTTAAAACCTATTTATAACACTTTTTACATATATGTACATAGTTTTTGTGTTGCTCGTCAGATACTTGTATGAGCTTTGTTTCAGCTGATTAAGTGCCTTGTGTTTGTTTGTAATGATGAAATAATTAGATGCTATTTTGTTGTGTTTTCATTCTTTTTTTTTTTTGTTTGTTTTAATTGCCAAAGAATTAGCGAAAAGACAAAAAAAGTTTCTTGAATTATATTAACCAAAGTGCATGTATGGAAATAGAAGGATTAGAAGATTTCACTGACGGGCTTGCTTTACAAAAGAGTGGTGACATCTATGGACATAGCATAGCCACGAGCTCTAGATTTGGTCCTTTTCTATTCGTGAATTTGCAAGTTTCAGTGTTTTTGTTTTTGGTGTTTTTCTATTTCTTATTTTCAACAACAGATGGTGCTATGTATCTATCATTCCTCTTACTGATAGCAGTCATTTACAGCAGAGTTACTTTATCCGGTAGAGTCCGACAGCTTGCTATCGAGAATCCAACAGAGGTGCCTGACTGCTTCTTTAGGGAACACAGCCTGATTTTCTTTCTCCATCAGCTACTGTAAAACAGAATATTTCAGTTTGGGATGGTATACCGACTGAGTACAACGTCATTTGAATGTCAGTATTACGCCAGGGTTGTATTACAGCAAAATTACTTCTTATAAGCTTTGTCTTTTTTTATCGATTTCCTTTAGTTTCCCCTTATTTCGGTGTCTGTGTTCACCTCACATCAACGGCTGAGTCTCAGAAGGCTCTACAGCCAAAACCATCCCCAAAGATAATAAAAAGTACCTTTTAACAATACTACAAACATCTACCACAGAGTTGAAGCCATACGAGAAAAACGCCTTATGATAAGAAAAGCATATTTATCATTAACTCTGTATGTAAAAAAAGGACAGAGATGTTCGCAGAAATGATACAAATGTCTGTTTCACATACTTGAAGTTTGACATGCTGCAGTCTCTGCCCACTGACGTCTAGATGTTTTCTCTTCTACTGTATAAAACACTGTTTATATGTTGTGCATAACAGATGGTGATGAAAACTTAGCCTTAAAACACTCACTTACTCAATAAAGAAGACTCTCACATTATCTAATATTGTGTACTCCACTGTTAGAAGGGACTGGATTCGTGGCGTGAGGGCATGGAAATCCCCTCATGCTGGATAACAAGTCATCTTTGAGGCTCTCTGAAACATGTTTATGAGCTTAAAGTGCCGCAGAGGAAAAAACTGACACTTAACAAGCGTGAATATTAAAATGGCAGCAAATTCTGAACCATTTGCGGCGATGAATCTCTTTCCATCGGCGGCAGCAGGAAGTTGATACGCTGCATGATCAAAGATGTCAGCAACTGAATTGTAAATTCCTGTGCACTCGCCAAGCAAGTCTATTTTACAGTATGCTATCACACTCTGGTAGATCAGATCATCTGCCCCCTGCGCATGGACTTGCAAATGCTGTATGTGACTACTGCTATCACGCACCGGGGCGAAGGCACGGCGGTCTGCACCCGATGCCAGTTATTCGAAATATGCAGCTAGCGTTTCAGTGTCAACAGTGTCTCAACGGTGTCTCCCATAGCATCAGTAATAAGAGGACTTGGACGTGGCGGGTCCGTCCTCCACTTGACATCTCTGGCGAGACCCTGCAGCCTTCCAAAAAAAAAGAGCTACGATGTGTTGGATGAAAGTGTTTAATTCAGAGCTTACGCTAGCTAGTCTGCTGTGGTTTTGTAGCATGACGCTCATTTCTGGGGTTCAGTTAGAAGAGGTCGACTCTGATGACAACTGCCCTGCAACTGTTTTGTGTAAGGAGACGAAATGTCAATGCCATGTTTACACCTAAACTTCCAAATGCTCTCAATATTACCAAAGCTACTTTGAGTTGAATCATTAAAGGATGTTTCTTACCACCATCACTGAGCATGTCGTGTCTTTCGGTTTCATGGTAGCGTGGGAAGATGTTTCATGATGTAACATTCGCAACACCCATAATCCATCCATTCATGATTGTCTTCTATCTTTATTAACCCTTGAACACTATCGCTGGGTGATTTTCACCTGACCAAACACGTTTACGTGATTTTCATTATGTTGCGTTTATCTGAGTATCATGGGTCCCTGGGTAGCTTCAGCATTTCCTTTGACATCTTTTAAGGCATATTTGTTTCCCTAATTTTCACCCAGTAATAGTGATAGAGGTTAAAGTAGGTTTGGGTGGATTTGATAGCTGCATGTAGGCGAATAAGGTCAGTAAGAGTGGTCCTGGAATTTGCAATCTATCTTTATTTAGTGCAGTGGTTATGAATAACTATCATAAAGTAGTGATTATAGAGGGAATTCATTAATATTTTAGTCAGCTGGTCATTTTGGTTCTCTCTCCTGCAGCTGTTATTATGCCGAGGACTCTGAGTCTTCACCAGGGAAGACTCACATGTCCCAGGAATGGGTGGAAAAGAAACTACATTTTTTTTAGGAATTTTTTTGTTCAGGAATGCCTAATTTCAGTTTTATGGTCCCCTCATGGCACCTTTTTCCCTCCCTTTGGACATTACACAGTTAAATATAAAGAAAAAATACTTTAATTTGTCATGTTTTGATATATTCTAATAAGTACTTTTTTTCTTGGGTAGATTATTGCGGGTAAAAATCACCCGGCGATAGTGATGGTGTTACTAATTTTAGCGATAGTGTTCTCGGGTTAAAACCCTACAGAAAAAGCAGACACTTTCCTCACAGCTTTTATCAAATTGATGAGAGAAGACATCCACACAGACGTTGAAGGGGGAATTTTCACAGGAACAGACTACACAGAATTACCGGTAAGTTGGTTTGTGGAAATCCCGAGCTTTACACAATAACTGAAAGTGATTCAACAGTAACTATAACACAACGAGTCAACATTCATCTGAAATCTGAGCTACAGTAGTCTAAAAGGAATGATGTCCAAACTGTTCGAATGCAAATTACCATTAGTTATTGCTATTCTGCGACCCTTGCAGAAATCACACAGTAGACCAAGAGACCTCATCACTTGGTTTCTGAAGCCTGTTGATAGTGTTTACAGTGCTGACATGTTGACCTAACCTGACTTTGAGGTGAGGCAAAGAGGTGGAGTTCAGGTGGGTCTTACTAACAGCCCACCTATACGTTAAGGTAGCTGTTATTTAATTATGCAAGAGTTATAATCTCAATGTCTTCAAAACCAACATGATGTACACGTACAGTAGATCCAAGATATAGGACCAATTCCCCAAGACTCGTGCAATTCCACTTTCACTGGTCACTTTTAGTCTCAAAATGAAGAGTATTATTGATCAAACAAGCATTTTTTAAAACACTTTTCTTTAAACCTCACAAGGACGAGTGGTCTAGCAATCTCAGCGCCCCACGCACAGAATGAACTGACATACCTAAAGCCTTTCTGCACCCCTACTCCCCATGACCTTCAGCTATTTACATCTGATATCCGACCCACTGCTCTCGGAAAAGGCAAACCTCCCTGATTCAATGATAATAGACCACACAGCGCATACGCATTCTCGCTGATGGTTTGTGATGGTGCCTGGTCCTTTTAGAGACAACCGTCAGTCCACAACCGGCGTTTCAGCACCGCAGCCGATGACAGGAATCTAAATCTCCTGCTATGAAAGAGTACTCTCAGAAGGAGGATTCTTGTTGCAGGCCTGAGAGGTCACAGCCTCCCACTGCCTCCCCCTCTGGCATACTTACACTGGGTGAAATGGGGACACTGGCATCCTGGACTGTCTGTTTGCGTGTTCCTGCGGCTCTTAGTGTCTGTTGAGGTCTGCGTGTAATCACTTTTTCCTGCTGCCACAGTTTCCTTTATTTTATTGGTGCTCAGAGGTATGTTTCCATTCATAAAATCTTTATACACTTCCAGCTTCGACATGGAGAACATCATGTCTTGTGCAATTATGCCATCTAGTGGGCACATGTAGCTACTGCAAGAGCGCTCACATATCACAGTAGGTTGGCAAACACTGCCCCCATGTGGTTTCTTGTTTTAACTACATCTGATTCACTTGGACATCAAGTCTCTCTGGGGTTTAGCAGGTAATTCTTCTTATTAAAATCTGTTAAACCTCATTAATTCTGTCTCACATCATTAAGACCTGAATTAAACTCGGCTTATTTGCGAGGGTAGGTACCTTCTGTCATTAGCGTGCGCGCATATGATAGTGAGAGGTGATTCCTCTCTCTTGTCTTCTCTATATTACCTTTCAGTCACTCTAATGAAGGCTCCTCCTACAGATCCATTATGAAGGCTTTTCTGGCACAACACATCATTAGAGGAGAAGGAAGAAGACAAAGGGGCCCGAGGTTTGATAGAGTATTTGATAAATTCAGATCAAATGTAATGAGAACACTACTGGGAGGAGATTCAGGTTTATGAAGGTTAGCTGGTGAAGAACAGGGCCAAACATCTGCGCAGGTTCTCCTTTGTCCAGGTGGTGGTTATCCAAGGGTAGGGTTGTAAAGGGGCGCAAAATTTCTGGTTAAGCCTGGTAATTTTGGAAATATTCCAAATTGGAAACTTTACATGGGAATTATGGGAATTTATGGGAATTAACTGGAAATTGGGGGTAAATTAAACAAACTGTATCATATCCAAACATAAATGTCAATATTTTTTCTTCATTAGCTTGTGTGAAATGTTTCCACACATCAGATGGCGATCGTGGTATTTTTCTGTAGAATAAAATAACAAAAAAGCTCGTAAAAACGGATGCAATGGCATAAACAGACATATAGTCAGCTAAACAACTGGAATGGTCTTCAGAATATTTGACAATTGATGTATAAGTTGGCTACAGAAAACTGTCTCGCAGGAGTCAGAAGAAACAGCATCACATTTGAAGTAGATACTAGGGCCTGACTGAAATAGATTTTTTGGAGTTGATGCCGATACCTATTATTGGGGGGGGGGGGGATCTGATTACCGATAATCTGCCGATTATTTACATTTTTTTATTAAGTTATAAAATATATATATACATACTGTAGATATCTATAGTATACTATATACTGTAAATATACTGTAGGCTACTGCTCTTCACGCCCACAGGAAGACCGACTGATCAAACTCAGACCAGAAAATCGTTTTCAACTAACCCCCGACTCTCCTCTGTGCGTCCCTGAACTGCCTGCTTCAGATCCGTAACTCTGCTGTGCTGTGAGGTAGTTAGTGGATGAAGATTTTTATGAGGTCGCTGCGCCATCTACAGGATAAGTCGGGGGATCTTTTCAAACGGTGGAACTTTTTCAAAGTGAAACCGAATCTTATTCTCCGGATTAGTCTGAAATGGGCAAAAATTGGCAGATTTAATCGGCTCGCCGATAAATCGGTCGGGCCCTAGTAGATACCACCACCATAATAAGCTAACCCCTTAAATAGTCAATAGCTTACATTTAGCAACTATTTTTATTTAATTTTTGCAAGTTAAATATTAATACTATAAGAGATCAAATATATTTACCTCATAATATTATCAAAACTTACTTGACTTTATATAGTCCGTGGGCTCAAATGTTTTGTGCTTTGGGCTCTAAAGTCTGGCCTCCAGGATTCAAGAAATCACCTGTGCATGTGATGGTGGAGTGAACTTGCATTAAATCTGGTTGTTTTAGCCAAGATTATGCTATAATATAATTTCCCCAACTATATTTAAGTTCTGTTGAGGGCCAACCTTTAATTTTGTAAATTTCAGATTAATTCCCATTAATTTCCAAGGAAAGTTTCCAACTTTGAAAATTCCCGGAATCTTGCAACCCTATCCAAGGGGCTACTGTACTTGGCTGAACTTCTTGACCAGGATGCACCTCTCCTTTATAAAAGGCTTCTTCAGTTTTTAAAGATGGTCAGAGTCAGCAAGAAGTCCTTGGCAAAGTTGTTGACGGCTCTGCCAAAAACTAATCAGAACTCGTACCAAGTACACCAAGTTTTTCTGATATCCAAGTGGATGGACCAAACTTGGTGTACTTCCAATCAAGTTTAAACTCTTATTTTTTTGGCAAAGGGGGGTTTTTGGTTTTATTTAACAAGATAGTTGGAGAGAGATGGAAATATGTGGTAGACCAGGCGAAGAGGACTACAGACTCTGCACCAAACTGGCATTTTAATGATTGAATTCACCCTCTCATCTTGCAGCCACATGCGTTCAAACACAGTGTCTACACATATGTGTCGGGACAAAGCAGACAGACACTAGACATATTCATCACGTCATTCAGAGGAAACACCAGTCTGCAGACGATGCCACATTAACTTCAGTGATGATGACGGATAAACTTCACCTCACAGCTTTACGATTGATCCACCTGGTTTTACGCAGTTTCTACAAACGTCACCTAAACCTCAGAAACCTCCTCTCTGCTGCACAAATCTTCACTGCTCACTTCAATTCATGCAAAAGACTGACTTTAAAAAACGGGACGACTACATTTCTGTCAAATACTGACTGATACGCATTATTACCTTTGCACTTAATGGGTGTCTGGGGGTTACATGCATCATTGCTTTTCATCATGAGGTCAAACTCGAGCTCTTAAAACAATTACTTTTCCCATTAATGTCTTTAAAACTCCCCCTGTCTTGTCCGATCCCGTCCAATGTCACTATCACCTCCTGCACCCCCTTTTTTTTGTCCTCCCACTTCGGGCCCACGGGGAGATAATATTTTCTAATTTCTGGAACACAATGAGGGGGATGCAAACAGACGGTCCACCTTAATCTATCACAGCTCCTTCTAGGGTGCAGGGGTGCGCCGTGACAGGCACAAAATCGCAGAGCCGGTGGGGAGGAGGGCAACAGAAGCAATTAAGGCTCATGAAATGCAAATGGCGCCTTGTGCAAGAGGAGGGTATGGGATACGGGGGCGGGGGGGAGCTTGGTTTCCCCTAGTCTTGCTGCTGCCATCTGCTTGCCATCACCAGCAGTGGAGGAACCTCTGGGTCTTGGTAATTTGTAGCTTTAATAATTTTCTCCTTCAGCTGGAGAAGAAAGAGATGAAGCTGAAAGAGGCCGAGGACGTGCAGCTGGCCGAGATTAGATTTAGATTAGCCGCTCGGATCACATGGAGAGCTGACCTCTTACATTTTAGCACGGGCATAAACACACTGGCATGTTCACACGAAAGCATGCATCACATGTGCAGCTTGCAGACTTCCTTCCATCTCCGTACAATACTCCTCTATGCCCCATCAAAGTTGACCCTGATCCAAGGTGGACGTCTGGCCCAGTGGGTCCATAAATCCCCGAGGACGTCTAGAGGTTATTTAGGAACATGATCCCTGGACGCTGAGGGCCGGGTTGTAACCTCAGGAACAGATCCCGGACCTCACTTTCCCTGGAGTACTGTTTAAAGGGGTCAAAGTGGACACAGTGTGTTTTTTCGACCATTTTCCCCAAAGAATCGGACGTACATTTATCATGCGGGAAAACAGGACCGTATTGAGTCAACAGACCAGAACTCCTTCAAACACCCACCGTTCAAGCCCATTCCCAGGGTCAAGACCAGGCCAAGGTCAGCAACAATCGTATCTGACCCCTGACCCTGCCGACGTCCATCATGGTAAAGGAATAAAGCAAAGATTGGCAGCCGATGTAGTCAAGAAGTAAATCAACTTCAGCTTAAGCCATACATCAAAATTACTTCCACGGACACGCATCGCCACTGAGAGGCTAATCATTTTAACGGGAATAAAGCGAGTTTGGATGGACGGCAGCTGCTTTGTTGTGGAGCAAGAGCGAAGACTTGTGTTAAAATGTGCCTTTAAATAAAGTTAGAGCCTTCAGGAATAAGGCTTGATTAATGATACTTAAGTTAAAGCTCCTATAAGGATGTTTTAGCCAGTAACACCAGATTGGAGTTAACTATTCAAACAAGATTATCTGCAAGGAGACTGATGAAAAGTAATTGTTCATTTTTAGTGCACGTTTATGCAGCTGTGGGGTAAATACTAGACAAGATGACGCTACGTTGCATAAAACAATTTTTTTTAGAGTTATGCTTAGAGAATGCTTACTCAGCAAAAGGGATGAAGAATAATAGGCACCGGGGGCACCGAAATCTACAACACGAGCTTTAAAGGGATATTCCGGCGTAAAACTAATTTAGGGTCAAACACACTGTAACACCCCCTTGAGAGATGAATGTTGCAGACCTCTTGCTTCTCTAGTTATACCAACTTTAGTAACAACCGCAGGATAGCAATACACAGCAGTCTGAGGAGCCATAAACAAACTTCAACTAAAAAGCCACTCTATAGCCACAAATAATGCTCAGAACAGCACCTAACTTCATCAATAGTACATATAGGGTCCCAGCCATCGCACTAGCCACCAAACATCTTTTTAACTTTGCCTAATTTCTTTAGTAAAGAGACTAAACACAACTCACCTACTCTCCTCCAGCAGCTACATGTTTGTATGGAGACCTCAGGCCAGTTCATTACGGACTACAGTGGGGTGACGCAGCTCAAGGAAGAACATTTATGATCATTACTTTATCACTTCCTTTAAGTCATGATCATCATATTAATCATTTTGCACTGCAGACACGGTAGTTCTTCTGTCTTAGAGTCTCGGTCTCAAGAAATGATCATAAATGTTCTTCCTTGAGCTGCGGCAACCAGCTGTAGTCCGTAATGGACTGGCTTGAGGTCTCCATACAAACAAGCGGCTGCTGGAAGAGAGAGGGTGAGTAGTGATTGCTAAAGAAATAAGATGTTTGATGGTTTGTACTGTGGCTGGGACCCTATATGTCCTGTTGATGAAGTTAGGTGCTGTTCTGAGCATTATTTGTGGCTATAGAGTGGCGTTTTGGTTGAGTGCGTAGCTCTCTGTATTGCTATCGTGCGGTCGTTACTAAAGTTGCTATAACTAGAGAAGCAAGCAATCGGCAACATTCATCTCTTGAGGGGGTGTCTAACTCTAATTCGCCGGAATATCCCTTTAAGTTTTGTTTTGCAGTAAAGTTTCCTAAGTACTGATCATAAGACTGTGAATTAGGACCACTTCTGTAAACTGAGTAGAAAACTCCTGTTAATTAAGTCAAGATTTGGTCCATGGATCATGCTAACGCTAGGTGTGCACAGCTCAATTTCAAGTGTTCCCAAACAAGGCCAACTTTACTTTCCCTTCCTGCCTCATGAAACCCAAAATGCTGATAGAAATACGCCGTTCATTGAGAAGTTGAGCCACACACATATTTTAGTCAGGCAATGCCTCAAAAGTTCAATGACCTTTAAGTTGAAAAGCCTCTGACAGCCAATCCACCCAATCTGGACCAAATGTGTTGCAGCGTAAATGACCGTGAGTCATGCCTGACAGGCATGATGGACGCATGCCACACGAGTAAAGTCAAAGCATGTGCCTCTACTGGATTTCATTTCAATGCAACCTGCTCTGACAGGGTCGCGATAGGAATCTCTCAGCTCTATATGGAGCAGGCAATGTGTCATTGTAATTATAGCATTTAACACTCACACCATGCACACAAAGGCACAGACTGCAAGACAAAAAGAGCCGGCGGAGTTTCAGGGCTGGCATTGAGCAGAGAGAACAAGGCTGCTTTTACTCTCTGCAGACAGACAGACAGAAAGCACTCATGAGGTCCAGTAAAGCGGAGTACTGGTCAGACAGACTGCAGTAAAAGTTCTCTGAATGGTGTCGATGAAGCCTCATAAATTCCCCGGGCAATAACAGGGCCTCCTTTAAGAATGGGATACTCAGCGGCTGAGTTATCTGGAGCCGTGCTGCATTTCAAACTCTGACAGCCTCATTGATAGGAGGTTATGTAGGTAGTTTTTTTATGGCGCATATGTTCCACTCTGCTACAGCACATGCAAGACACTGACAAGTACTTATACACTGCACACTTACTGGATGCATGTATGCGCATAGATTGAGAGATATGAGCAATAACTATAAGCAACCACAAGAGCAACAACTCTCTGCCCATCACCGAGGGCAACAACCTTAAATCAGCCGGATAGAACAGAAGAAGACAGCTATACGAGGAAGAGATAAAACTGCTGGTGCAGTTGTGACAAAGAATAAGAAGATCAAATTCCTTTCAGTGTGCGTCGCTTATGTCTGTGGTGCTATAGTGCAAGCCTCTACAGCCGCAAAACGCCTTCAAATCTGCAGTGGTTAGCTAGCAGACACTCATACAGTTGTAGGTTGCATGCACTTATAAACTCTTCATTCATCCTCGCTGGGATGTATTTAGCTAGCTGTACTACATTTGTCTATGAAAAGTGTTGTTTTTCTGTCAAACGTGACAAAGACAGCCGAAAACACAGTGACAACTGGGTATAAACATCAGCGAAACAGTTTCCTGAAAGGAGTGAAGACCTGCAGAGAACTGTGCTAAGCTAGCAGACAGGGTGCCATGTCGAATCTAGCACTTTGAATTAAAAATGTAGACCTAAATTTGCAGACAACTTAAAGGCATGGTTGACGATTGGAGAGATTGGTAATTATTATGAACCTCGTTTATATGGCGATCATGGTTCTACAGTGCGATCCTCACAAAGTGAAGAGTAAAAAAATAGGATATTGACCAATAGGAGCCATCCATCCCGGACAGCTCCTATTGGTCAATCTCTTGCTGCACCTCTCCATCCAATCACCTCGCCGTATTCGACACACCCCTCTCCCGTAGTCTCCCGACTTTTTTCAAATCTGCCTCAACGGCTCAGTTTTTTCAACCCCTTCTCAAATCGTCAACCATGCCTTTAAAGTAAGAGTATTAAAAATCTAAGAGCTAGAATGACAAATATCAGTGTTTCTCCTGCGTGTTTGTATATGTTACTATATTCTGTGTGCGATAGAAACATGGCGGTGGAAGACCTGCACCTGTTTAGATTTTAAAGGCTTATTCATTTTTATATTCAGCTTAATGCACACTTACAATGATGAGGTCCCATTTTCCAAGTCTGTTAGATGCCACTTAATATTACATACTGCACCTTTAATTCGCTTTAAACAGACAGTGATAATAGGCTCTTTAAAGTCAATGGTATGCAAGTCTAAGTCTTAATTATAAAGACCATTTTAAACACGTGAATCTATTTACAATAATAATTAATTAAATGCACAAAATAACGTTGAGTATCCTGAATGCTGGATATCCTTTGCTGTCCTTGTCCTGATGCTGTTTTGTATCTAATGTCCCTTTTTTCTTTTTCTCAAGTGACAAATCAGTCTTCACATCCAACACAAAACATGTCCTCAAACTCTCTCAGGACGAACTGAGATGATTCATTTACAGCTCTGATAGACAAAACCTTTAGATTTAAATTAATACTCTGTCTTTGAATGATTGAGCTCGACTTAAAGAAGGAAAAAAAACATCTTTCTACCTTTAGGCTTAATGAAACTGTGATTAGTAAAGCTAATTAGTCAACTACTTTCCCAGCTTTCCCATGTCCTGTATCACTATTCATGTACATTGAATAAAGACATGGTGATTAGTAGGACAAAGACACACGCTGTAATCGACTCTCAGTGGAGTGTCTGCCATAGCCCATCAGGAGATAGCGAGCCGGGGCTGATAGCGGAGGAGACAGCGGGGTTGGTGAATGTTCATGTAGCCGAGGGAGAAGTGGAAACTTGGGACAAAGGAGCGAGGATGAGGGAAGATAAGAGGGAGCAGAGCGGACTGGATATCCAACATAAAGGAGATTCTGCATTATGTATGCATGGCAACAGAACAAAGAGGAGACATAGTATACTGTACAGTATACACATACAGTATATACAAGCTTCAAACAATGAACCACGATAAAAATCTATGAAGTCTGGACCCGCAGAGCTTCAGCACAACCCCCTCCTTCTATTTCTTCTACAGTGAAGACACTTTTTACAACAGTTTACAGCAAACTAAGCTCTTCTTGTGATAGAAGCAAAGCCTCCTTGGTATAAGGAGATTTAGGAGGAAATGGGTTTCTAAAAAAAAGCTAAAAAATTAACAAAAAAGCAGAATTTTTACCCCAAATTCAGTGAAATTGATTCTCCAGATTTTTTGAAAATCAGAATATTCAATTAGCTGCAAGGAACCTATTCAGTATCAACGATTTGATGATTATTTAGTAGGGGCAGGAATCACTAGTGGTTCCACGATATGATACTATCACAATACTTTGGCCAAGATACAATATTATCACGGTACTTGGGCCACAATACGATATTATTGCGATTTTTAACATTTTGCAAAACAGTGAGCATTACGATACAATATATTGCAATTTATTCCATTTTTTTAACTGTTTGGCTAATTTAGCATTTAGCTTTCCTTTATGTTTGTCTTATTTACATTGTATTTTATTTTCATGTAGCACAACTTGCAAACCTTATATATATTTGTTGTACTAACTTTCTCCTGCTCTATGACGTCACCTCTGCCAACCTCTCTGGACAAACAGTTGATTTTATTTTTTCATTTTCATAGATTTGACTTCATATTAGCAATTCATTAAAAAAAACGATAGCAGACAGACTTTAAAATTGACAGCTTATCCAGTATCATGCATCCCATAATAAGTCATAGAAATACAATATACTGTATAACGCATTTACAACCTGATGAATCTCAACTCTACTTTCTCATATTTCTATGATGTCTGTCATTTTTCAGAGCGAAAGTCCTCCTAATCCACAAAAACACGCCCGTGTGTGTGTGTGTAAAAGTGTTTGCCAGTTTCAGAAGTTTGATTTGACTTTCAAATAAAACTTACAGTTTCCCATCAATCACAGAGACGTATTGATGGGCCACAGAGAGATATACGTCTGCATATACATGTGCACATAAAGTCAGCGCTGAACTGTCAGTTTGTGCAGCCCCCTGTTGGCCTGACCCTCACAGTCCGGCCCCCTTCAAAACTCTGTTGCACTAAAGGTTCAGAGCTGTAAATCACAAACACACACACACACACACATAGAGAGAGAGTCTGGTTAATGTCCACACCGCCACCACTCACACAAGCTTAACCGTACTCCAATGCAGCATTGTGGATCAGGGCAGCACCCCCCTCTCGTACCACTCTGCCCCCTTTGTGCTTTCTTGGTTTCTCTTTCTCTTTCTCCCCCCCTCCCTCACAATCAAAGGCCATATGGCAAACATATTCCTCCGCTTCATTGGCTTTTATGGCTGTTGTTTAAAGATCGGGCCCTGGCTTGGTTGAGGGGTGTTCCGGTGGGGGCCGGTTTGAAGGGCAGAATAATATAGTCTGCCCCTCAGTCCATTAGAGAGCCTTTATTTCTATTAGTCCAGTCAGGGGGCTCTTTGGGACCATTCAAACACCCCTGGTTAATTAAGAAAGAAAAACACAAGCACATGACGTGTTTTAAAGCAAAGCAGACTGACACCGCTGCCGATTTCCAATCACCCCTTTTCTGCTTCATTTGATCACTTCTCTGCAGTCGTATTAAATAGATGACCAACAAAAAGCGATCGCACTCTGCCCGGAGTGTCTTAATCAAATATGAAAGTCACTTTGCATAGAGGTAATTCACGCCACATTGAAAGTTAATGGTGCAAAATATTTGGCCAGAGTGCCGCCGCGGCTGAAACACACACTCGAGGTGTTAACATGGGATATTTGCTGCAGTGTTTTCCTGCACTGGCAGGGAGCAGTAACTCAGCAACATTTAGAGGCCATAACCGGCCGCTTAATGCTCTCCACTGATCCAGAGCAGAACCTCTGCTGACGGCTAATGCGTCAACTTTTCTCCCAGACGAGCTGCCACAACATTAGAGGAAATCTAAACACAACAACAACAACGACGACGTAGTCAATCTTCAAGGTGTTTCATGCGTGTTTGGCTCATAATGCAAGCTGAGGTTTAGAGTTTACCCTCTCCCTTTTCTTACTTTCTTCATGCGTTTTTTTTTTTTTTTACTGCGTGCTGTAAGTCACTCGGACAGCGTCCTGCACCCCACTGCTGACCTGCATCTGGACAGCATCTGGGGGAGGGTCACCGGAGTCACCCTGACAAGTGCTAAACCATCTGGAAACTTCCTCCTGCACTTTGAGGGTCACTGTGAGGAGGGGTGATGAAGAGGAGCGACACAAAGGAGGAAAGAAAGATGGGAGTGGATTGGGAGGAAAGGGCAGAAAGGGATAAGTTAAAAAAATGTTGAGGAGAGCAGTTGGCAACTTTCGCTGATTACCATACGACAGACAAGATTTACATCCAAACCCCAATAACATGATTATTTTTGTCACAGTTTAGGTCAAGATAACTGATGCATGAGGAAAAAATGTTTACAAAATTTGAGGGTGCTTTCATCAACAAATCAGAAATTAAATCAAACAAAAACTAAAAATTAAATCAAAGAAAAAAAAAAAAAGGTTTGACAGAGACGATGTACAATCAGAGTGAGGTAAGTCCTATGAAAGGGCGGGACAATTTTGATAGATTCAATATGTGCATGCAACAACAGGTTACATGTGTAAATGTATATGAAATGTATTACATACATGACTATAAATACAGGAGGATTTTTAAGTGTTGCAATCTGCAGTTCCTCGAGTGTCCACTAGAGGCTGTCTGAAGAGGAACCACTAACCATTCACACAAATTCAGAAAAGCGGATTTTAAGAGCAAAAAACAAAACAAAACACATTTACATCCTGGTGCTGGTCTGAATAGCTCAAGACTCTTCTGTCTTCATGATCATGACTCAA